TGGCAGACTACTCTCTGTAGGAAATCTTAAACTCATTTTTTTGTGGTAGGTAGAGAATTGGGCGTCCGAAGACCCCGCCCACCCCGAGGGCTGCGCTGCGCCACTGAAACAAAAAAAAAAGCCCTTGAGCGCTGCCCTGCGAACAAAAACAAAAACACCGCACGCGTCCCCTGCCACCCTAACATTGGCCGCCCCTTATAAGGTGCTGCCCCAAGCACGTGCTTGGTCAGCTGGTGCCTGGAGCCTGCCCTATATGTAACCATCCTTCATCTTTCATATAACCACTAAGGTGTTGCTCTAATCCAACACTGCCTTTTTGCCAAAGATGGGCCTTTTTTCCCCTGTGTGAATAGTGTAATGTGCTGGCTCAGATGTGTGATCATATTATCCACTAGTGACTAAGCCATAAAGAGGACATAATCCTTTCTATGACAGTGAATTAACGAAGGGACTCCTTTAACTCAAGCAGGTCTGTGATTAAGGAGACAAAGGTTCTGTGGTATGTCCAAGATGTGTCATGTGTATAGTATATACTAATGTTCCTGATGCTTATATGCAGCACATATTCTACATTCATTGCAATTGAGTCTGATCACCTGGTTCTCACAAAAACCAATCTCCTGCTGAAATCAGTGGGAATTTTGCCTGTACGAGAAGTACAATATCAGAATCACAGAGAATTGTTCTTTTTTTACATACTTTCACACCCTTGACACTGATTTTCAGATGCTAAGTTTTCAGTCGGTAATGACTTTCAGTCACTAGATAAAACACTACTGTATTTAGAGTAACATCTCAATTATTCCCATATTACAGTTCAGTTATTCCATATATCTTATGACAAAGTTATATGTGCTCTGGCATCAGTGAAGAGAGAAGAGCATACCCTCTGTCTGTCCAATACAATTTACGGTTAATCCAGTCCACAGCAAGACCTTCAGGTGTATCTATAGCTTCGCAAATAATTTTTTCACGATTTGAGCCATCCAGATCAGCTTGTTCTATCCACTTCAAGGCTGTGTGTGCAAAATAAATCTGTTAAGAGGAAACATAAGAGTTATTTCCAACTATTTCACAGATAATATCTGTCCAATTTCCCTGATCTTACTGTTTCATCGCTGACTATGAATTTTCTTTTTGGAAACATCCCTATTCATTTATTTATAAAACGGTAACCTGTGATTATTGCTCAAACAGGCACTTATCCTTCAACCAGAATGACTTCTGCAGGCTGAGCATACTTAGCAGTAAATCTTAGGTGTCCTACATAACACTTCCTGAATAATCATGGTTCCCTTTTAGACAGCAACCTCCTAAAGTGAAACACAGCCCATGAAACAAGAGAAGGAAGAGGCAGAAAGAAATGTGTTAATATTTAGTTGCCAGATCATTTAAGTAAATGAAAGCAGGTGTGTGGAGGGGGATGGATATAATTTGCTCCTGTTTCACCTCTTTTCACATTTGTCTTTGTTATTTTCTTAAATAACAGGCCCCAGTCCTGCAAGATGTTCCAGGACTCGACTCTAATGGGGTTGCAGGCAGGCACAAGGGTCTGGCCTACGCAGAGAACCTTGCAAGGTCTCAGCCAAAAATTGAAAGTCTCCACTGTCTAGAGTTATGGTTACCACCATTCGTGGGGGCGGGGGGGGGAAGCCATTTTATATTTGGTATCAGCAGAGAATTGTATCCCGAACTGCAAAACTGCATACAAAATAACATTAAAACTTCACTGCAAATGCTAACAACATAAATGCCTTTGCACTGACTGTAGATTTTTCTTGACCCTTTAACTCAACTCAGGCAAACTCTCATTAACTTCAATGAGTATTTTGCTTGAAAGTAGTGGAGGATCAGGCTCTAACTCCTGGAGGCTACTGCAGCCAAACTGGGAGATTTTAGGCTGCTAAAAGTCCAGTAGCACCTGGCCACATGCCACTCCCGGATGGGGCCAGCATGTCCCTGTGACCCCTGGGAGAGAACAGGGGGCTCTGCACGCTGCCCCTGCTCAGAGCACCGACTCTGCAGCTCCCATTGGCCAGGAACTGCGGCCAGTGGGAGCTGTGGGGGTGTTATCTGCAGGCAGGGTGCTGAGACCCCCTGCCCCCCCCCCGACAAGGGGCAGCAGGGACATGCTGGCCATTTCTGGGAGTGGCATGGGGCCAGGGAAGGCAGAGAGCCTGCCTTAGCCCCACTGCACCACTGACCAGGAGCCGACTGAGGTAAGTACCACGCATCTGGAGCTGGCACCCCTCACCCCCTCCCACACTCCAACCCCCTACTCCAGCCCTGAGCCCCCTCCAGCACCCAGACTCCCTCCCAGAGCTTTCACCCCTTACCTGCTCCTGCACCCCAGTCCCCCGGTCCAGGCTCAGCCCGGAGCCACCTCCCACACTCCAAACCCCTCGGCCCCAGCCCAGGGCCTGTACCCCCTCCTGCACCCCAACCCTCTGTCCCAGCCTGATGAAAGTGAGTGAGGGGCGATGGAGTGAGCAGGGTGGGGCCTCAGGGAAGGGGCGGGGCAGGGCAGGGGTGTTTGGGTTTGTGTGATTAGACAGTTGGCAACCCTACCCAGAACCAGCTGCCTGTGTGCAACCTCCCAGTTAGCCACTCCACGCAGCTGCCAGCATGCAACCCTCCAGTGAAACCCCTGCCCAGTTGCCACCTCGCAACCCTGCCAGGGAAGCCCCCTGCCCAGGACTGGCGCTTCCACTAGGTGACCCTAGGTAGTTGCCTAGGATGGCAGGATTTGGGGGGCGGCATTTTGCCGTCCTCGGCGGCAATTCGGCGGCGGGGTCCTTCCGCTCCGCCTCTTCGGGACGCTTCAGCGGCGGTTCCTTCACTCACTCTGGGACCCACCACCGAAGCGCCCCGAAGACGCGGAGCAGAAGGACCCCCACCGCAGAACACTCTGAGGAGGAGCACTGCCGCCTAGGGTGGCAAAAACCCTGGCACCGCTCCTGCCCCTGCTACCTGTGCCCAGCTGCCTCCATGCTGCTCCCTAAGCCCCCAGGAGGTAATGCTGGGGCATGTGTGCACCAAGCCAAGCAGCCACCGGAGCCAGGTGCTAGGGAGTCTGCTACCTTGTTGTTACTGCCCATGTGCTGTGACAACAGCAAAGTCTATCCCTTGTCTAGCTGTTTCTGACAGCAAGGAAGACCACTGGGGGACTGGGGCAAGAAGCTGCCCTCTCATTTCTCTGAACTCCCAATTATCCAAATAAAATCTGCATCCCTCACGGTATTCAGATAAACTTGAGCATACTGCATTACCTTAGAGAACAGTGTAGATATGTCTCATTAAAAGGAGAAAACTATTATACAAGGCTTAACAAAGCAGTATTCAACCACCCCTCTTGCAAATTCACCAAGCTTAGAGCACTGAGATGAGGCAGTACTCACTGGCCCTAATCTGGCAAGCTGCTCCATGTGGGCTGACTCCTGGGTCCAGAAGGAGCACCAGGTAGAATCAGGACCACATTCTGAAATGGCTAACAAGCCCGCCACATTTGCAGAAAGTTGGTTTAATATTACTAGGAGATTTCGGTGCAATGCTTGTTAAAAGAGCCTCTACATACGGATGGGTTTTGATGCGTATCAGTGGTAAAGATGCCTTGATTTTCTATGATCCTTCAATAAAAGCACCTGATATATTTCCAGGAAATGATTCTGAAGTTTAAAGTGAGAAATCAATTGATTATACAAATGTTTTTGTTCTAGACAGCGTCTCCTTTACCAACAGAATTTGGTCCAATATAAGAGATCCACCTTATCTCTTTGTTCTTGACTGTAGTCATGCTTAAAACCATGTGGGAAATCCAGCCATTTTGGCATATGGACCACATTAAACTAACGGAGACAGAACTGAAAGGTCAAATTTAACCGGTGGGCTTGTGTTTATCATTCCTACTCATGACAGAACACCACACCAACTGTGTTGCTGGACATTCAACGGAATGATAGCAGCACAGCATGTTATCTGGATCACTGGCAGCAAAAAGATTAAGGTACAAGGAAGCACAATCCATTTGTCCTCACAACACTTCAAAATCCTCTCATTTTTAATGCCTTACCTTACTTTCAACTGGGTCATAGTCCAGTGCTAAAACCATTCCCATCTGCCAGTCGAGTAAACTTGTGTAATCTGTTCCATCAAAACTGATGCGGCGGATGTCCTGGCCGTTTGCAAACAATAAAAATGGCCTGGGGCCTGTTAATGAAATTTTGCACGCATGTTAATTTTTCTAGGCCCAAAGTAATCTGTAGATAAGATGATTTATGTGTGAAAAAGCAATTAGAGTGCACATTTCTCCTCTCTGTCTCTCCTTGCTCTTTTGTTTCCGTCATCTTAATCAGCGATCAACATCAACAAGATCTCATCAGTAAAGAAGGAAAAAGTTAATTGTCTATCACTGAAAGCAATTACCTCTTTTCCTTTTATTGCTAAATTTTAAACTGGCACTTATCTCTTCTGCACAGCTGACTGCATAGATATGCTGCATACACACAGAGCAAACCATGAAGTCCTTACTTAGTTATTACTTAGTCCTTTCCTCAGGCAAAATCCCATAAAAGTCAATAGAAGTCAACACTGGTTCTCCACTTGCGAAGTAACTCCCTGCTCTCCATGTGTCAGTATATAATGCCTGCATCTGTAACTTTCACTCTATGCATCTGAAGAAGTGAGGTTTTTACCCACGAAAGCTTATGACCAAATAAATCTGTTAGTCTTTAAGGTGCCACCAGACTCCTTGTTGTTTTAATAGAAGTTTTGTCTCAGGAAAGGCTGAAAGTCTGGGCCCAGGTATACACAAGCTGAATCACACTGTCTTTTATTTAACAAAGAAACAGAAAGGGAAGTGTTAAAATACAGAACACAGACTCTAAGCCATACTCACTCCTTCCCCGCCCCCTTCCCCAGCCCATATTGTGGGCACCACTAAGGGTAAGTCAACACTTCAATCAAAGGTAGGCATACCCGTGCTAGCTTTCACCTAGCCAGCACTTGGATTTCAGAGCAGATTGTACAAGTCTTCCCAGAACCCTGGGCAAGTATTTGCTTTGCTAGCCCACACAGAGGTCTGTGCCACTGCATCTTCATTGCTTTTTTTAGCCACGCTAACTAAATTAAAGCTAGCACAGGTACGCCTACCTGAGCTGCAATCATACCTCCGATTCCAGCATTGACATACCCTAAATCAGCATTTTACAATGCAAAGGAGGGGAGCTTGGTAGTGCTTTAGTTTATTGAACTAGCCTTTACCCTTGGGACCTGGACTTAAATCTCACTTACTTCACCAATGCAGTTAGTCTGACAGTCTCAATTAATCCCCCCAACATACATTAATTAGTGCTGCTGTCGTTGTTTGCATTACAGGATTGCCCAGAGGCTACAAGAAAGATTCGGGCACCATTGTGTGAGGCACTGTACAACCATGTTGTAAGAGACACTTTCTGCCCCAAAGAGTTTATAATCTAAATAGAAATAGTGAATGACAAAGGGTGAAAGGAAGGGTGGGGAAACTGAGGCACAGGGCTTTAGGTCCTGATCCTGCAAGCATGTACATGCTTACCACTACACAGGAGAGGAAAAGTAAACGTGGGTAAGTGTTTGCAGGATCAGAGCCTTGTCATCTGCCCAAGGGCACACAAAATCTGCGACAGAGGCAGAAATTGAATCCACTCATCTTCAGTGCCAGTCCAGTGACTCAGCCACAAGAAAATCCTTCCTCTTATAAACTGTATAGCACAGCACCACCATAGAATCCAGTACACTGGACAGTGCGGGACCATAAGGAGCTTTGCACTGCAATAGCAAAGACAATGCAATTTATTCATTTTTAAATTTATAAAATGCATCCAGTACAACCTCTCTGGGCATGT